CAACCAGGAGAGTAGCCCAGCAACGCGCAGCTGCACTTAGCATGCATGCACACAGGCCATACCAGCGCCTCCGATAAAGACTCCCGTGGCACAAGTGGAGACGGTGTTAAAACAGTCATACATGATAAAGCGCTCAGCGAACTCATCCCTGCAGCTGCAGAGGCGATATCCAGAGTGTTCAGCTGGGGCGGGCTCGCAGAAGAGCACACAGGAAGAACAAATAGCAGCCCATAAACACTTCAGACTGAGGTTTAGACTTAAAAACGAAGAGATATGCTCAGCACAAGGCCCTTCAGGGATACAAGAGTGTGGAACTTGTTGGCAGCTAAAGGAAGTAGTTCAGCTTCTTCCAAACCAGAGCAACAAGATTGCTTCAGTTAGGCATTCAAACCCAACAAGCTGTCATCCCTGCTGTAGTTCTCTCGGTGCATAAAGCTGCCAGTAATTTTACCTTCCTCCACGATTTGAGAGAGATAATGTCTAACCGGTGTGATTGCTGTAATTTTGTACAAAATTGACACTGTATGATCAGATGGGGCTCCGTCTGTGTGCTTTCTCTAAATGATCTTATAATGACAACAAGCTGACAGTCAAATATGTGGATGATGACAGGATTTTTTGCTTTCTTCATCCCTCAGGCAATGTTGAATTCAACATTTATCTACCTAAAGGGAGTGACGCAGGTGGGTTAACCTGTAGTCACCTTGAAGCTGTTAATGCAGGAGACAACACTCATTAAAATGTGCAGCACTTTACTTTGCAAGCACTAAAATGTGTGATCGGGTAATGTGATAATTAAGATGGTTAGACGTGGATGTTTTCTTCGCATGCATTGGCTTTTCCTTCCAAGAGCGCTGTCGCAGGGGTGAATCTACGAAGTAACTTTGCAAAGAAATACCTGGTATGAATTGGAAGAAAATGGGATATTGTGTCTCAGAGGAACGTATATTTTTCTGAAGATGGAATGCTTGAAATGGGCTTCAATTATTAATTAGCAAGAAGCAGAAGAAAGAGTGAAAAACACAGTAAAAAATGTCAAAAGGTGGTTAAAGGGTTCTCCACAACAGCTTCATGAAGAAGACACTGCAGAAAGAAAAAATGGTGGCAAGCAAATTCCACTGTAATTTAATGGGTTTGCACAATAACTGCTAATTATTAGGGCAAAATGCAAAATTTTTTAATGCACTGATGCCTCTATAGACCAATCTGAGTGAGGGTTTTCTGACTGCACCACATATACTGCAGTCAAATTGGTATCAACTTTTACATGGAAGTTGACAGCAAAGGATTGTCCTAATAAGGTTTAGTTTTTTCCGCAGCCATTAGCTGTTTGCAGCTCTCACACATCAGAAGAGTCCCAGCCCCCACACGACATGGAGAAAGAGGGGAAAGACACTCGTATGCACTTAGGGACAAGAGCCGTTTGCTAATAATAGTTAGCGAGCTTCCATGAGAACAGTAAAGTGGCCTTTATCCTCAGCTTCTTTGCATTTTCTTGCACAGTGGTGCTTCCTCTCATTCCTTTTTTGCACACATCTTAATGCCAACCCTCTATACAAGGAAAACAGCACAGTACTCAGTGCATGGACGTTGTGAACGAGTGTGTGTGCAACCCACGTCTGTGCACCAAATTTATTTGAGGCAAGATGTCCTGCAGTTATCTGCTTGCTTTTGCTCCACTTCCTTTTTCTCATGCGTGGAGAGACACGGGGAAAGATACTGTAGCACCTACACTGCACAAACAGAGACAACCTCCTCCTCTCTGGAGCACTCGACTTCTCTTATGGCTGAACACGTCACGTTTACCTCTGTCTAACTGCCTACACCGTTGTTAATTCTTCTTTTGTAGCAGTTGTTGGAAGGTCAGCATTTTACACAGCAGATCTAAAAGGGTTTGATTTTCTTTTCTTTTTGTTCTTCTTGTTTTTTGAGATTGCACTAGCTTTAACTTCTTGCGAGTGAGATGCTCTGAGTCCAGATGCTGTGGGCACCAGGTCCTCAAAGCCCCCTGTAACATTCAGGCAATAAAGGGCACAAACGTAAGCTGGTTTAAGGAGAAGTGCTGCATTTGAGCTGGCTTTTATTGGTTTTAAATCACTCTGGATTCTACCGTCCGATCATCCCTCTATAAGCTTCAAATCAAAAGTCATATTTACAAAACAGGAAGGACAGACAGTTCTGTCACCCTCAGAATACTCTGTCTGTTGTCACTGTGTATGACTAAAGCATGAAATGACGAACATTCTCACAGGCAGCTTCCTGACAAGCAAAATCGAGCCTTTTAAATGTGTCGCCTCCAGGCTCGTGCAGCGTTACATAATGAAGCTGCTCTGTGAAGTTCATGAAGAGAAACCCGGTGAAGCTACAGTATGCTCCTTCTTGTATCCTCTACGAATGCATGGCTGTACAATTGTGCATGAGAATCTGAAGGATAAACATCCGCAGGGTCAATGGATGATATTCTAAGAAACCATGCATGAAAACAATATGACTCAGATGTTTACCAGATCTGAGCCCAGCTGTGCACCTGCATGAGACATAATGGACTGTTGAGGCAACTCTACCATCCAAACAGCAAATTATCTGAAGAAATGAGACTCTTTTGCTTCAGCTGAGTCAGAGCTTCATGAAAAACTTTACAGAAGTGTGTTGAACCTGTTTTGGCAACATGTGGTGGTCTAATGATCCATGCAGTCATTTGCTCTGCAGTTTTTGCTGGTTTCAACAGATTTATGTTCTCTTTCTAATCGACAACAAGACTTTAAAGTGTAAAAAAAAAAAAAAATTCTGTTAAAATGCTCTTTTATATTGTATTTTTCAGCCTATAAGTCGCAGTTTTTTAAATAATTTTCATGCCCTGTGAATTATAAGCCGAAACAACATATTTATGGATTTTTCTCATATTTATAAATCATATTTTGTCTGAGATATGACCGTTTCATTCATTCTGACTGAAAATATTGAACATTTTCAGCCGCTAGATGGCACTCGAGTAGTATGGCATGCCATTGTGTCATGTAATAGGTAAAAAGTGACTATTAATGACACAAATGGCTTGCCATAGCCTTCCACCTTTGTCCAGCTCGCCTGGAGCAACCGTCAAATCAGCTGCATTTTGCTGCGCCACACCGGCGAAATGCAGCTGATTTGACCATTAAAGTGCATTTATTAAGTAAAAATTCAACTGAGACACACTTTTACTATAATGTTGAGTAAACAAATAATTGTTTTTAAGTGTTAATCTTGTTAAATTTTTGTTAAAATCCTCCCGTGCATGCTCCCACGGCCGCCAGTTGGCAGCCAATCGATTTTGGCTCAACACCGGTCCACATTTCCGGGTTGTCAGCGGTGACGCGTAACAAACGCAACGCGTCAGCGGTGAAGCATAGCAAATGCGACGTACACGGGGAAGCAACGCATTTATGGATTTTTCCACTTTATTATTAGACATATTTGGACTGATGCGACCTATAGGGCGTTGGGACGTGTACGGCGGAAAATACGGTAATTCACCACTTGCCACCTTTTGTCTGAAAGAGGATAAAAAACTTTTGCTTTACGTTGACCTGACACATAGCTCAGACAAATTATCGCAGTTTTCAAGATCATGATCTCTTTGTGAGGTTTTGCTAAAGATCTGAATTTTATTTTCTATAATTCAGGGAAACAAAACAGTCTCATTCTTACATTCAGTGCCAGCATGGATGGCTCATATCTTGTACTCATGCAGGTATTTATCATGCGGCACAATGTGGCCAGCGTTCGACCCAGCTAAGCAGCGTGTTGCTCTTTCCATGACTCTGCAGTAAACCACAATTCTTTAGCAGATCAGATAATGAGCTGCATGTTGTGGTGCTTCTGTTCATGCTCAGGGTTTAAAATAACCTCAAGGCACATCTCGGTTTGTTTATTAACAGGTTACAGCTTCAGTTACACGTCTCCAAACAGCCATACTTTTAATTTTATTATTCATTATTACCATTAAGGGATGGACTGCAAAGATTTAAGACGACTGCATGTGCACCCTAACAGTTTGAGTATTTTACTGCAGGGAAATCAGTTGCTGCTGTCATCTCACGTTCACTATTCATTAGCCTGCTAACCACTGACATGTGACATTGTTCATAACACACAATGTCAACATAATTACTGCCAGAATCAGCATCAGATTCATCCAGATGCAGAAAACAGAACTGGCCCTGGCAGTTTGTCCAGGTGGGCTGCATACCAAATACAAGCTTTAAAAGGAAACCTTAGCGACTGACAGTGAATGTCAACAGCTATTTCACATCCTGTCCTACCCATTCTTCCACTGTATGAATAAAGAGCCAGCAGGGGCAGGATGAAACAGCAGATTTTGGGACAGTGGGTCAGGATCTGTCAGCTGCCTCCTGCTCATAACCCACTTTTTTCTGCAATCAAGACAGCAGGCTCAGCCGTGGTGGATTCTGTGGGCAGTCTGATCAAAAAAAGCTCTTTTCACAAGTGTCCTGTCACAGGAGAAAGCGAATTAACAAGCTATTTTTCAAGTTGGGAGAAATCCCACTCTCCCATTGGCTGTTAAAGATTCCAGCCCTTAAGATTTTAGACTCCTCTCCCCAGCCGAATATGCACCTAATTAGCCTCCAATACCGCTAACCCTCTCCAATCAAACAGCAGTGATTGAAATTGAGGCACCACAGCGATGAGGTAATTACCCTTGACAATGAAAGGACCTCTCACTGCCCAGACATCTACTGAAGGGTTTTGAGACTATTAAAGTATTGGAGGCCAGCCTAGAAACAGATTCAGAAGGAGAAAGAAGGGCCTGAAGGAAGGAAAAGAACTAGCGCAGCGTTTTACAAAATGGTTTGAAGGCTTCCTGGCACATGGCGGAGAGACTAGTGTGGAGGTAGATGGACTCTGCAGACTCCTGCACTGACAGGGATCTGTTTATAATGGACGTTTCTCGTGTCAAATATAAACCAGAAACTTTAGTGTTGACATGGAGTCAGCCTTGCCTTTCTGTAGACAATCATATTGGGAGAATCCTCTTCTGGCTCAGCGGTGCCACTTCCTCCCTGATCCTTGGACCCCTCCGCCATTTTCTCTAAGGCCTATAAAGAAACGGATACAGCACATGAACGCAACATCATATTCAGTGAAAACTGACAAACAGTATTTATACAGCAATGTGCACAAGTCTTTTCTTTATATTAGCCTTTTTGAGTTCTCATAACCATTAAAATTGCACTTTTTAAATAGTTCTCAATGGTTTCTGAAGGTCGATCAACTCTTTTATTTGGACTTTGGCTGCTTTTTCAGTCAACTTTAATCAAGCCAGCAGGCTACATTTTCTGAGGAATATTTTGTTGTTGCCACTTAACTCTGACCAATCAATCATTGAGGCATAAAAAGGCTCCCAAATTCATTGAATGAATGAATGTTGTGTCAGCATAACAGAAAAAAGGATTACTAGGCACTTTGTTACTAACAGCCACAAGTGAGTTCCCCTTTTATAGTTGAATCTACAAAAATAAATATAAAACAGTTTGGCTTAAAATATTATTTTGGCTTCAAGAATTGTTGTAAAAAGCTGTTAGCTGAAACCTGTGTCAGATTGTTGGATTTTCTTCCCCCTCATTTCCAATCAATCCATCTTTAAGATACTGTTCATCTGCTGTACACAGTTGTTTTTTAGCCTTTCTCCGATCACCGTTCATCCACTCGCCTCTTTCAAGCCCAAACTGTACACGATCGGGGAAAAAGAACTGATGCAACTGAATAAAAAGCCACGAAAGTCCAATGAAAAACTTTGTGAAGGAGATCCAGAAAAGCTGGAGGAGCTTTTGATCAGGACCACAACAAAAGGTTACAAAAAGTGCTGCTCCTTAGAAGCGAACTATAAAGATTTTAAGAACGGTTTAAAAGTTTGACACACTTTAAAAACTTGATTTTCCATGACAAATGGATTCTCGGTGAGTTGACGGTGTTTAATTGTTGCGTTTTGTCCACTATGCTTTTCACGTTTCTTTTATACTCCATTAACTGTAATCTTATGAAGGCCCCCTTTGACCCCTGCCCTCCCCACATCAGCCGGCCTGCACCGCTGCTCTGAGAGCTGCTGTTAAAGGATTTGTTTATGTCTTCCCAACACACTCCAGCACTTCTTTTCTGAGCACACACACACAGGCGTACTTTAATGAAAATTAATTCTGCTTAATCTGAATTTCCATAAGAGTTCTGGAGTCCACTCAGCACACTTGGCCCACCCAACCCTTCCCACTAGAGACTTGTATCTGTATAAGTAAGCTTTAATTATTTGTCAGACCTTTAATGAGCTGAGGGTACTTTCATCGCACAATTCAGCTCATAATTTGTACCATTCGGTCTTTGTACTTTTGAAATACAACTTGAGACAAAAGCTCGTACCACTCAGCATACACTGTAACAGCTACTTGTATTAGAAAAAGAACCGTGAAGCTAAAGAGCTAATGAAGAAACAAAAAGACAATATTTTGTAATGAGAACATGCTCAGGCACAATATGACATCTTCATACAGCACCTGACTCAGCGACACTGTTTCTCGCCAAGAGGAAATTATTATAGCTGAAATGTCGTGTAGACCATGCAACGCCACAAGTCGAGATAAAGTATAATTTGAAATGGTTAAAATCAAAGGGGCTTTCCAATTGTAACTGAACATGGTATGTGCATGAGCTAATAAGTGTCCCCGCATCATTTATTATCGCCAACAGAAGTGTGGTGAGCTACACTCCTCACTGGCAAACAGACTTGTGCACCTTTTAGAGTGTGAGCACATCGGACAGGTAATCTTTGCATGCACCTCGGGCGCTGCATGGAAAGGCAGGTGGTATGGATTGCACAGCACCTGCTTAAAGAAAACTCAGCGGCTGTAAATGGCTCCTCTGGAGACAGGGAACTGGATTTTTAGATTCGTATATAAGGCCAAGATTTTGAAGTTTGTCTTGCACGTTACAATGGACATGTGTGTTTGTGTGCAGCACATGCACAACCTCAAATCTAAGCACTCAGCAAGCACCAATTCCTGCAGAGACGAGCACAAACACAGAACAGGAACCCCCCCCTGCAAAGACCCAAAAAGCAAGCCCACACAAATCCAGTCATGTGGACCAAACTACACTGGTAGAGTTTACACACAACATGCATGCCAAGCTCCACACACACTCCGAACCATATTGCAAGAGGTCCCAAAGCCCAGCTCACTCTGTGCATGCATGCAGTCAAGTGCAATGCAATGGCGGTGACACCTTGTCATTACTAAAGCATTTACCTTCCAAACAAAAATAACGCCTGGTTCCCTCTGCTCCCACTGGTTGGCTCCCCCTTAGCAACAAGCAGCAGGCATCTTCATGGTTTGACTGTCAGAGACGAAGAGTGGATGAAGAAGAACGGGGGACGGGAACAGTGAGGCGGTGATGGATAAAACTCAACGGGGAAAAAGAAAGAATCTGGTTGATCACTGCAGTATTCCTCTAGACCTCCTCCTCTTCGTCCTTTCTCTTCACCAGCCCTGCCTTACCCCGGCAAGCTGAGGAGATCCTCACATGCGAGCACCTCGTTCATCTCTCCTCTCCCTCTGCGTCTGCATGTGCTTGAGACCGAGCGAGAGCTAAAGAGTGCGAGGCAGGGAACGAGTGAGGGAGATGCTGTGCAGCAGAGAGGTGCAGATCGCACTGTGAAAGAGGGAGGGATGAAGGAATTAGAGAGAATATAAGGAGGGAGGAGGAGAAACAGGCAGAAGTGTGTGCATGTGCGAGGAGAAACAGAGCGGTGGAGACACGACAGGGAGAAAAGGAGGACAGAGAGATGCACACTGCAGCAGCGCCCACCGATGCTGGAAATAAGAAGCATTTCATTAAGCTTGTATTAAAATGTCAACATCAAAAGAAGTTTAAAACACACGGACAGAGGCTATAAAAATATATATATCACAATCTCAGACATGCACCCCCTTTACAGACAAAAAGGTATAACATGTAAATAAAAACTGGAGGCAATTTAAATTAAACCTAAGTAATCATGAAAACTGTTCTGTAGACAAATCAAAATTTAAATATTTAGACTTTTAGATGAGATGTATTTGACCTGTTCAATAGCCTGCCTCTCTGATAGTATGGGGGTGCATTAGTGGCTATGACATGGGCAACTTACACATATGGAAAGGCACCATCAGTGCAGGAACAACATATATTACCATTCAGCAGAAAATCCAGCAAAGACGACTCAGGACAGTTGATCTACATCAGATATAAAAGAGATATTTTCCTCCATGATGTCAGTTCCTCAATTTTTAGAGACTGTTGTTAAAAGAAGAGGATGCATTCATAAACATGGTCCAGTCCCAGAGTTTTTAAGATGTGTTGCTGCCGTAAAGATCAAAATTACATTTAATTTCCCCCAAAATTATACAATTCCTAAACTTTTAATATGATTTCTCTAATTTATTGTAGCAAGAATTGATGAGATTTGAAAATCCTGTTTTTATTTTCCATCTTACACAGAACCCCAACGTGGTTAAAAACTGGAGTTGCACGTTTCAGTCTTCTGCATGAGAGCCCTCCTGGGAATTAAAAAACACTTCACAAGTTGTGTCTAATAAATTGTATAGTTGCACATGACTAATGCAAACTTGTTTCGCTGTCCAAAACTATTCCAGTTTTTCATGCTTTGCAATGGAAACTGTGGAATCATTCAAGCTCAAACAAATTAACTTTTTTTTTTTATAAATGAGATCCCACAAACCCTGAAGGAATATATGCCAGAAATAAATGGCAGAGCCAGTTTATGACTGCATGCAGCGAACACACCAACACGTCTGCGTTGATGGAACCCGATCACCAGAAAACCAGCTTCTCTTTTCTGCAATCAAAGCAGAAGCCCTGGCTCTATGAAGGCTTTGCTCTCCTGCTTTAAAAATATTTAACACTTTTCAAACGCTCCTCACACACAGAAAAGACCGTGTACGCAGCTTTAATCAAGATAGACATGCACACTGTCTCACGTCTCAGTATTAAAGGGACAATTTAGTTTCAATGTTTCCTTGGAGGAAAAGAACAAATCTGCTGTTCTCTGTAAATCTGGTTACCACGGGAAACCGAGGTCACATGTGAGGCATGCCTGTGGAAGCATTTATTGGTCTTTTGCATTTGTGCCACTCATTTCTCTAAGCAGCCAGATTGTTTTGAGTGATCTACCTTTGTGTCTGCAGCGCAAATACATGTGCTGGTCATAAAATTAGAATATCATGAAAAAGTTGATTTATTTCAGTAATTCCATTCAAAAAGTGAAACTTGTATATTATATTCATTCATTGCACACAGACTGATATACTGTACAGTATTTCAAATGTTTATTTCTTTTAATGATGATGATGATTATAACTGACAACTAATGAAAAACCCAAATTCAGTTTCTCAGAAAATTAGAAAATTACTTAAGACCAATTAAAAGAAGGATTTTTAGAAATGTTGTCCAACTGAAAAGTATGAGCATGTGCAGCATTCAATACTTAGTTGGGGCTCCTTTTGTCTGGATTACTGCAGCAATGCAGCGTGTCATGAAGTGGATCAGTCTGTGGCACTGCTCAGGTGTTCCGAGAGCCCATGTTGCTCTGATAGTGGCCTTCAGCTCTTCTGAATTGTTGGGTCTGATGTATCGCATCTTCCTCTTCACAATACCTCATAGATTTTCTATGGGGTTAAGGTCAGGTAAGTTTGTTGACCAATTAAGAGCAGGGATACCATGGTCCTTAAACCAGGTACTGGTAGCTTTGTCACTGTGTGCAGGTGCCAAGTTCTGTTGGAAAATGAAATCTTCTCTATAAAGTTGGTCAGCAGCAGGAAGCATGAAGTGCTCTAAAACTTCCTGGTAGACAGCTGTGTTGACCTTGGACCTCAGAAAACACAGTGGACCAACACCAGCAGATGACATGGCACCCCAAACCATCACTGACTGTGGAAACTTGACACTGGACCTAAAGCAACATGGACTCTGTGCCTCTCCTCTTCTTCCAGACTCTGGGACCTTGATTTTCAATGGAAATGCAAAATTTACTTTCATCAGAGAACATGACTTTGGACCACTCAGCAGCAGTCCCAGGCGAGACGCTTCTGTCTCTGTCTCTTGTTCAAGAGTGGCTTGACACAAGGAATGTGACAGCTGAACCCATGTCTTGCATACTTCTGAGCGTGGTGGTTCTTTAAGCACTGACTCCAGCTGCCGTCTACTCTTTGTGAATCTCCACCCACATTTTGGAATGGGTTTTGTTTCACAATCCTCTCCAGGGTGTGGTTATCCCTATGACTTGTACATTTTCTTCTATCACATCGTTTCCTTCCCTTCGCCTCTCTATTAATGTGCTTGGACACAGAGCTCTGTGAACAGCCAGCCTCTTTAGCAATGACCTTTTGTGTCTTGCGCTCGTGTCAAGGTATTTGGACAACTCTCAAGTCAGCAGTCTTCCCCATGATTGTGTAGCCTACAGAACTAGACTGAGACCATTTAAAGGCCTTTGCAGGTGTTTTGAGTTAATTAGCTGATTAGACTGTGGCACCAGGTGTCTTCAATATTGAACCTTTTCACAATATTCTAATTTTCTGAGATACTGAATTTGAGGTTTTCATTAGTTGTCAGTTATAATCATCAACATTAAAAGACATAAACATTTGAAATATATCAGTCTGTGTGTAATGAATGAATATAATACACAAGTTTCACTTTTTGAATAGAATTACTGAAATAAATCAACTTTTTCATGATATTCTTATTTTATGACCAGTATACTAAAATGATAAAGCCACTTCACATTGCACTGATCTGCAACTAGCATTCCTTCAGACAGACAGGCAGAGACATGGCTTCTCTAATCTGCTTTGACAGGGACAGCCCTGTATAATCTGTATTAATTCTAAATTATTTAACGGCATGTTCATAATACCACCAATCCAAGGAGTTACCGAATATACTGTATCTGTTTGTTATTGAACAGAATTGAATAATCCCTCCATTGTTTTCTCAGCAGCATGTTTGATTTGTTGCAGCAGCAATAAACTAATAAGAAAAAGGCTGAATTGAGCATGAATCTGCTCACAATATTATTATAGCATGAGTACAAAATTCTTTCAGTACAAAATATGTTCATGCACATACTGCATATAAATGCAGAGAAATATTTATGCACCGATATGTGGTTTGATACTTGGTGTAAAAGATCAAAGTCCCAAATTAACATGCAATTTTTATTCCAGTTTATTCATCTAAAACCATAAAACAGCACTTCACACCTATAATTTTAACAAATATTCAAATTCAGTTAGACAGATTTCACCTTGACTGTCTTAAATCCCCAAAATTTCACAAGTATATCTACCAGTTCAATATTTAATCTGTGCCACTGAGTCATATCCTAAAATATCAGCTCATATTTGTGTTTGTAACTTGCATAAACATGCCAACAGGTGAAATGTGGTTATGGGAAACATTAGAGTTTAAAATTAGGCATTTATATTGTTGTTTTGTAGGTGGGCAGCACGGTGGCTCAGCTGTTGTTGCCTTTCAGCAAGAAGGTTGCAGGATCAAAACCCGCTGGGGACCTTTCTTGGTGGAGTTTGCATGTTCTCTCTGTGCATGCATGGATTTTCTCCAGGTACTCCAGTTTCCTCCCACAGACCAAAAACATGCATGTTAGGCTGATTGGTAACTCTAAATTGTCCCTAGGTGTGAGTGAGAGTGAATGGTTGTTTGTCTCCATGTGTTCATGCGATGGACTTGCGACCTGTCCAGGGTGTCCCTGATTCTCACACATGGGCACCAGTGACCTGAAGAGGAAGAAGCAGGTAGATAATGGATAGATGTTTTGTGGGCTGTTGGAGCAGGTTCTCGTGCTAGATTTCCTCACACGTAACTACAACACATTTCTTTCTTTCCCGTTCGTCTAGTTCTCTGAAGTGTTGCTGCCTTCTGCATCCTGCTCCAACTTGTCCATCTGTAATTGGGAGGTAAATTCGTCACAGTTGCTTCTTTGGCTTCAGTACTGCCATGTGCCTGTAATAGATGTCAAATTACTGATACAGAGAAACTGTAGAAGAAAGTGCGCTTACGTTTTTGTTCACGACTGTTGATACATGAATGTAATCTTTAATCAGACGGCTATAATCCTGCTCGGCGTCACAACGCTCGATGCTTTGCTTCATAATCAGCCGTGTCTTTACGCTGCTTCTCACTCGGGGTTCACTGTTGTCCATCAGTGCACAATCAACAAGCATGCCCGTCTGAAGCAAACGCCTCGTGCAATCGATTCTAAGTGGAAATATAGCAGCTTTCTGTTAATGACGATACAACAGCAGTCAGCTGCCTTCTGCAGCCACCCTTTAACTTGTTAAGACATATTCATTACACCACACTGGATTTAGTTCCCCATTTGTCCTTTCAAACCACAAAAGATGCCTCTTTTTTAATGATCTGCGTGTCAAAACCCAAACATTTTTCCGACAAAAGACCACCCATCCAAATGATTTGTAATTCAACAAAATATCTTTAATAGATATAAACATCTGTACACATCACAGCTTAATGGAAACAGAGTCACACATGTTAAGAATGAAGGCAAAGGGGTGATCTGCTGGGATGGGGACCTGAGACTCTGTTCTGAGTCCAGCTCATGGTTTTTTTTTTCTCCATCTCATCCCCTTTTTCCGTCTTGCATAACCCTTCTGTCACTCTTTGCTACCCAGTAAAGCAGAATTACATAAAAAATAAGACAGAAAGTGCAAACTCTGATGAATATTAATTTCTCCTTATATACAGCTGCACAGTGTCCGAGTACAAAAGGAAGCAGTTGCAGGATGACGCTTGAGTAAGGACTTAGCTCGGTCTCGTACAGACCAGATTTGTGTTTCTTTTTCAAGATTAGCTGGACTTTCAGGATTTATACAACTCCTCTGTATTTATATACCGAACTGTACCGATTTCATCCACTCGGAGACAAAATGATCAGACTGAAGCTATTTCACATGCTGTGGATGGGAAAAATGATCAACACAAGGTGTCACTGTCAATTCATCCACAACAGCAGGCAACAAAAAAAAGACATAAAAATTATTATTTGGGTTAAACGTTAGCCATCAAGTGATGCACATTTTCTCATAAGAAACTGCCCATTACAGGCACAAACATATAATCTAACTGCATATGGCTCATTTGAGCTTGGCCATTATTTTTGTTATAAATACTCTTTAATTTATCTCATCACAGAAGGGCATGTGGAAAAAACAAATACTTTACCATCATGTATTTACAATAATCTGGTTTGTATGTGTATTTTATGGCACCCATTGTGTTTCTGTACAATATATATTCCTTTCATGTGACTAGTAGTACTTTACAAGTTTTACCTCCAGCATCCTTTGATTAAACGTGCACATCGTTTCCGTTCAGACGCTTCACCTCACATCGTGTGCTGAGCAAAAGCTCGGCCTCTTTAGGTCCATCTACCCACACTACTGTTAAAAATGGCATCTGCTTGTTTTTGGTTAGTGTTAGAAAAATAACTGGAGTTGAGTAAAATAATAAATATCTAATTATGAACACGTTGACAGCACAATGAGATGGATAAAAACAGAGCTACATGGGACATATTTCAGCATCTCTTGCAGGGATCAAGGAGTTGTCTTTGATTTGAGCTTTATAACTTTAAATTGGTTCACTCTTTGTGAGGTTAGCTAAAAACCTAAATTTAAAAAACCTCTTTCGTTCCCTTTACGTTAGTTTCAGCATCTTGCTCTTTGCCATGCAGAGATACCAACAGTTCGTTAAGATCGGAAACAAAAGATGAACTTGTGTACTCCTAAAGAAGGGAGTGCATGCTGTTAAAACCTGACTCGCTCATCTGCTTCTCTCATCTTTCCTCTCTGGGTTGTCTCCAAAGTCATTCTTCGGTGGTGATTTAATTTTACGGAGCCACAAAGCTCCAGAAGGTCGGCGTGTAAAACAGTCCAACTTGTAAAAACCTGTAAATGAGCTGCATTCAAAGTTTGAAATCAGCTCGAGTAGTGGTTAAATTCCCAGTGGAGAGCAGGTGACGTGCGTCAGTTCATGTCAATGGTGTTGAAGACCCACTCTGTGAACTTCTTGAGCTTGGCTGAGGCGCTGTAGGACTCCTCCAGGAGACGCTGGTTGTCTTCTCGCAGGCTTTCAATCTGCACCTGTAGTGTCGCCTTGGCATCCTTCTCCTGATGGTGACAGAAGACACTCGTGACAAATGTGATCCAACTTTTTTCATCCAAAGAAGAGAGAAATGAGTTAAATCCACTAAAACTCACCCTCTTTAAGTCTTCCTGTAGTGTCTTCACCATGGATTCCAGCTGGCTCATCTTACCCATTAAGCCCACTGGAGTTTCTCTGTAAAAAAGAAGAAAGCAGAAATTAATGACCACCCTAGAATAGCAGATTTTACAAATAATTGCAGCCAGACAGGAATGAAAACTAATTAGAAATATTTGCTGCGACAGTGTCTTCAAACGTCAGCTCACGTCTGTGACCTGCAAGCTCTTACCCCGGTGAGGGCTGTCTCTGTGGAGCCACCTGAGGCTCGGCCTGCTGGGGGCTGGAGGCTGATGTGCTCTCAGCTGTGGAGCTTTCCTCCTGGGCAGCTAGAAAAACCAGTCTCTGCTCTAAAACACACAAAAAAAAGTTTTATTAAACCTGAAGAAAGAACAGATAGTGTAACAGTGCCATCTGCTGGTGACAATACAAATGACAGCTCTTTTGTAGTTTTTAGTAAATAATAATAATTAAAAAAAAAGTAATATTTACCTTCAAACGCCTTGGCAGCGTCCACCAGATGGGCCCAATCAAGCGGGCCATCGGTTTCAGTGTCAGGGAGGGGCATGAGAACAGGGTCCTGCTGCTTCTCATGTTCCAGCTCTAAACTCTCTGGAGCCGACAGGTCTCCTGGATAAAGCAAACAGCAGAATAAAATACGCTCAACTACACAATTAGCTGCTATCTTATGACATAAAATAAATTTAAAATTTTTTAAAGCAAATTGAATTTAAACTAGAGAAATTGCATTTCCTGCAAAAGTGCAGTGTGAATGCTTATTGCTGAAGAACTTGCTGAAAAACGGCTGAATTTAGCTAAAAACATCCTGAAATATAGCTGAAATGGAAGAACAAGCTTAAATTACCGGAAGAAAGCAGAAAGAACACATTTTTCTGAATTAAGTTTAAATAAGCAGAAATTAGCACAAAAATTTGGAAAATTAGCTAAAAAAAAAAGCTGAAATTATCTAAAAATAGCTGAAAGTAGCTGAAATGGCAGAAATAAGCTTAAACTACTAGAAGGAAGTGGAAAGAACTAAAACATGTGGAGTTAGCTAAAAAAGCTAACATTTGCATAAAACAGTTAAATGGTAGCTGAAATGACAGAAAAAACTGAAAATAGCTGAAAAAAGGCTGAAAGGAGCATAACACGTTGAAATTAGCAGAAAGAAGTTAATTTGTCTGAAAGTAGCAGAAATTACCACGAAAAACTTAGAATATATCTGTAAACAGCTGAAATTAGCAGAAAATGCTAAGTAGAACAACCTTAAATTAGCTGAAGAAAGCAGAAAGAACATATTTGCTGAAAGAATCAGAAATTAGCACAAAAAAGTAGAAATTAGCACACAGCTAAAACAAAAATAGTGAAATTTCAAGAAGGAAGTTGAGAGTGCACATTTTTAATGAATTACACTGAAACAAAGTTTAAATGAGGGCAAAAAAAATGTGGCATTAGCTGAAAAAGCTAAAATTAGCATAAAACAGCTATATAATAGCCAAGATTGTAGAAAACGCTGAAACTAACTGAAAGGAGCATCATAAGCTGAAATGAGCAGAAAGAAGATAGAAGAAGCACAAAAATGTTGTGGTTAGCAGAAAGAATCTGAAAGGAGCACAAAACAGCTGAAATTAGCTGAAAAAAATGTTTAAATTTGCACAAGGAAGCTGAAAGAAGCTGAAGCAGAACAAACTGTGAAAGGAGCAGTAAAAGGTTGTAAACACATCTAAAGATTTGAAGCATGTAAAATGAGCTCAATTCATTTCCTATGAGAAAAAAAGTGGCTAAATATTTCAAAATGCCAAAGATGCACCAATATCAAAAGTCATAGCAGGATTGTCTTGAAAAAGCTGAATGTTTTGAAATATGATTTGTTCATATAGCCTGAAAACTGAAGGGTGAAAAATATGCAGAAAAATGTACGAAAGAAAAATGGTGGTGCTTCATAAGCAGCCACACTATTAGGACAAGCTGTGATTTGGTTGCTTTGTTTGATTGTTTATCTGCAGACACCCCCGGTAAAATTAAAGCTTCACTGCCTGCATCACGTGTAAAACGTAAAGATTCACCGAGGGATTTGTGTGGCGCTCGCCGGCTCGGTCCATGTCGAGTGATGGGCGAGCGTGGTATGGTGGAGCAGGTGAACAAAAGGTCGGCGGACGAGTCACGCTGCCCACCGGCGGACGACTCCCTCTGCCCGCTGTAGATACTCTCGTCCGACAGCGTCCTCTGGAGGGAGCGACGGCTGGGTGGTGGACCCGGAAACAAGGGCTTCAGGGAGCAATGAGAGGGGAGAGGTGAGAAACTTCAGCTAATCACGCTCAGCTGGAAAAATCCTTTCATGCAAACAAACAAGAACTGCCAGTGGCTCAGCTTTATGTTGGATACACACACTCCTCCTATATATTAATATAATAACCTGGTGATTTAGTTTTACAATGAATGCCATTCAACACAACAGAACTTGTTTAATTTTTATTTGCGTGAACCACCATGAAGTCTTTGAATCCAGAGCAGCGGTAAGATGACAATGACCCACTTTGGTCTGGACCTCACTTGGACTCATCAGTCTGGATAAAATAAGTTTCATTTCTCTGAACTGAAGTTGTTCGGAAAGGCATCTACGCCAGGTAAGATATTACTTATTCACAACTTTTCCATAGATACTCATAGTCACAGCAGACATTTTGACAGATTATAAAGCAGGAAATGCACAAATGGAATATAATGGATTGATTCTGTATGAGGGAAAAGCCTGAATAAGCTGCTTCAGTCTTCAGGTTTACTGGAGGACGTTTAATTTGACAAATCATTATCAAAGTTAAACTATAAATTTGTAATTTTACCATTTCAGCTGTTTCAAAACTCACGTTCATCTTTTCTTGCTTAACAAAAATAAAATGCTGCTTTTAGGAAAACAATTCAATTATTTAGCTTTTCCTTTATTATATTTCCTTATTAGTTAACTAAAGTATTTGTCTTACATTTACATTTGGCTAATCTATTATGATAGCTAATCCAATAACATTTTTCATCTCTCAACAACTTCCTGGGTCTGTTTTACTTGTTTGTTACTTTTGTTGGTTAATTCAGCTAGTTTATCAAAGACGATAAGACAAGTAATGAAAAAATTAAATAAAACTCAGCTACAGTGATGTAGGAGGACAGCCTACTGCATTTCTCTGTACCTTCTCATCACTTGTTGTAGGTGGTGGGCTGTCAAGTGTGATGAGCTTCTTCAGTTCTTCTTCCAGGCTGGACTTGGCAGTCTGGCGCTGGGGCGACTGGGAGCCGCGAAGATGGGCTCTGAGCTGGGGCTGACCACCCAGCAGGCCATCGCTCTGGTGCCGTCTGCAAACAAACACAAAACCCAGTTTAATCGGAGGCCTCCGGGACCAAAATAACTCAGAGTAAATACAAATAACATGGAAAGGAGGTAAGTGCTGAAAGAAGCGGCATGCAGCCAAAAGATCAACAAATGGTGGCGTCCTTCAAGATAAAATCTAAAAACATTTTTAACGCTCATTTATTAGAAGAAAATTAATTACTAAATCCAGCCACATGGGGGCACTGCTAACCAACTCAGCAGTCTCCAGACTGGTAAAATTAAAAAGTTCACTGCTGTTGGAATAGATTTTTACAGTAAATGTTGGTAATTTTCCTAAACATACTGCGCTGTATTGGCTGAATTCACAGATCTACGTTAAAAACGGTTCTCCTCTTACTTGCGAGTGCTGCTGAAGTCCACAGAGTTGACCGATCCTCCAGGCTTCTTCCAGCCAATGAGGTACTTAGAGGTTGTTCCTTGACGAGGGTAGAAACTTTTGTTGCCTTGAGACGAGGATGTGGGCGAAACGTTTGTGGCAGCTGTTTCATTCGGTGGTCCCATGACGCTGCAGCTCTGTCCCATCGGACTCCCAGAGTGACCAAAGCTGATTGTACTGGAAACACAACACAAAAAAGGCTTGAACTGTTGTATTTTGCTTTAAAATGTGTCAGTATATTTGATGAACTCATTTGTTTTATTTCTTTGCTGCATTAAAATGGTACATCAGCTACAAATCTTTGGCCTGCCTGTTTCATCACCGCATCATTAACTGCGAGCAGAAATCGATTAAACAAAAATGGAAACTAGGGCAGTGCTCCTACATGACATTTTCAATCCTCTCAAATCCTGTTTTTACATTGCTTGACACAAAAGATTATTATTTTTTATGAAAATTATATATATGTACAAGCAAGCATGCACTATATATAAAACAAAGCTGTCAGTGTGCAGGAGACGAGTTATTTCTGTCTGAGGGAAGAGGAGAGGAAGGAAAGCTTTATTTGACTCAAAAGGACTGGGATTTAGACGAGGGGGAGGAGTGCTGAGCTCACACTCTGTATTTCTTTGAAGCCTTTCCTTTCAATCATGGATACTGTAAGATGAAAACGCATATGAATACAAAACCACTCTGTTTTTTTTTTCTTCTCACCACTCCTTGTTAAAGTCAAACCACAGCTTTAGATAAAGAACCATATAAGTGAATCAATTTCTTTCTATTGAAGCACTGAAGTTGGAGCACAACTTATTCTAAGAAATTTTTTATTTTTTAAACAAACCACACCTGGAGTGGGAGTCACTGCTACAGGAGCCACTTTCAGGAGCTGATGCTAAAGGAGAGGGACTCTTTGTCGCAGTCTCACTGCATCCAGGGACGACAAGCGAGTCTGATGTTGGAGATGTACTAGTGGCTCTCTGGCTGCCTGCTGGATCTTCCTGCCATGGGATTTTCTCCTTAGACCTGAAAGCACCAGTGGAGGAAGCTGTGCTGCTCTGCGTGGCAGTGAAGGAGGTGGCATCGATGCCGCTGTCAGTAGAGGTGCCCTGAAGGTAGCCGTTGAGCTCCAGGTCGCTCCGTACTCCGGAGCGGGAACCAACTTCGTACCACTTTTCATCGCTGTGTGCAGAACTGGACGCGTTGCTGGACAGCGTGTTGCTGCTCGACTGGCTAGATGAATACACCGCATCCGCCTGTAAATACATTTATAATGAATCAAACGATAAATGCAAATAGCATACAATTAACACAAGTCGAGTGTCTCTTTTGGATTATGTTGGTTTCTTGTTGCTCACCTAGGCCTGTCACGATAACAAATTTTGCTGGGCGATTAATTGGCTCAGAAATTATTGCGATAAACGATAATATTGTTTGAAATTTGACAATAATTAGTAATTATTGTCAAATTTAACAAGTAATTATTTTTAATTAGTAAATATTGTCAAACTTAAGACGAAATGTTGGTTAATTTTTGTGTGTAGTACTGTTGTTTGACCACTGGATGGCAGTATAAGACTGTTTGAACCGAAGGATGGATAGTGAGGGAGCGAGCAGCGTCTCTTTAAGTAAAATGGGAGGGAGGCCCCTTGACGTGACATGGGCTATCTCTGTTCCTGTTTTTCGATTTTAAAAATGGCAGATGCTCGGTGTGGTTTGAGCTCTTTAGCACAGCATTTGTCACACAAAGCTTTTAATAAATAATCAGTAAACAAGTTCTCAGCTTCTTTTTGCAGAGAAAAACTTTTTAGACGACGGCACGGGTTTCTACCGTGAATTTTGGAGCTTAGACAAGATGGAGGTCCCCCCCCACCCCCCCACCCCCGAGGTCGGCCTGTTAGCTTATCACTTAGCTTCTCAACTTAGCTGCTTTTAACGATTCAAAAACGCAATTTTGGACATTTAAAACAGATTTTAAAGAAAAGAGAAAGAAGAGAAAGGGAGGGGTCAGTGAAGAGCACCGGAGTTGAGCCTTTTGTCATCCAGTGTCTTCAGTAGAAAGAGAGAGACACGAAGAAACGATAAAGCCGATAAATGAAATTGAGGTTGATAATTTTCATTTATCTTGCGATTAATTGATTTATTGCTTATCGTGACAGGCCTATGCTCACCTTAGTGTTCCTGTTAGGAGACAGATGGCTGTTGGGATCTGATGGCTGGAGACGAGGAATCACCACTTTGGAAACCACAGCATCTACAGAATACACATAAGAAGGCAACGTAAACATGGAAACAACTGTGCATTAGTAACACCTTTGAGTTTGTAGAATTTTACCTGAGCTGGTTTTGTCCCCTAGTCTACTGGTGGCATCACCCTCCCCACTTCGAGACCATCCAACACCAGTACTAGAGCCCACCTTCATCCCATTGACCACCTCACCAGCCACTTGCCGTACAGACGTGACCGGCGACTGGCTGTTGTTATTGAACCTATACAGGAACACAAGATGACCTATATCATGTTTCCATGTAGCATAATGCAACAAGCTGAAATGTAAATAATGTGTCTGCTTACCCATCAGGTACAGACTTCTGCCTCCAGTGGCTGGAGCTCGTCGTCTCAGTGTAGGAGAAGCTGGAGGGTGAGTTTGTGTTGTGAAGTGTGCGACCCATCACAATGGAGCAGGCGAGCGCATAGTTGTCGTTTCCTGGGGAGTATCTGCAAAGACACATATGAATAGCATTAGGCACATATATAGCAAACAGGCATACGACTTCAGTGCGTAACTGCATCATATTTGTTGTGCGACCTTTTAGGGTTGAGAGGTCGACCATCACTTGACACACTGCGTGGAATGGCAGCAGAGTTGCGTTCACTGAAGTCTGACGGCGGTGCCTTGATTAAGGTTCCTCCTGTTCCGGCGGCCCGAGTTTGAGGGCTGGACGAGGAGCGTGGCCATTTGTTGTTGTTGTTGTTTGTCGGCCGGAAGGGGAACTTTAACTCATAGGGCATGCCCTCTTTGTGATTCTTATAGTCCACAAGTGGCATGTGGTAGATTTCTGAGCAACCTCTGTTGGGACAAAAAGTACTAACTATAAGTTCACCTACTACCCATCTCACATGAACTCATCTTTATTAACTTCACCTGCGTGGGGTGGAGTCTTCATGTGGAGGAATGATGACCACCTTGACAGTGACAGAGGTCCTAAGCAGGTCAATCATCTGCTCGTGGGACAGCGAAGCCACAGAGACCTTGCAGATCTCCACCAGTCGGCTGCCCTGTCTCAGCCCGGCCTGCCAGGCATAACCGTAGGGCTCCACTTCAGCTACAATGCCCTCAAAGTTGACATGAAAGCCCAGCTGTCCCAAGGCGTTACGACGCAAAGTCATCTCTGTAGTTTGACTACCTTTGGTCAATAGCTACAAAACAGAGGACGTCAAGGGGTTAAGACTAATGAAGATGGAGTGGAAGATGCAAATGCAGCAAATAATAATGTACTTTTTCCTCTCTGACATTGTTGAAGTTTACCTTTAGTTATAGTTAATCGGTATAGGATACATTTTTCAGATATACAGTAGTCCCTCGTTTATTGCGGGGGATCCGTAACCTGAAGCCCCACGATAAGTGAAAAATCGCAAAGTAGGAATAGTCGTACGAGTAGTAAGTAGTAGTTTATTTTAGTATTTATATATTAAGGCATTTTAAACCCTTTCCACACTCTTGTAATATTCTAAACAATGTTTCTAAACTCCAAACGCTCGAAAAGAACACAGGATGTCATGATTTCAGCTCCCTGCCTCCTCTGCTCTTTGCCACCTGCAAACGTTCTTGGCCACGCCCACTTCTCTGCTCTGCACGGAGAACAGCTGATCAGCTGCAGCAGGAAGTTTACCCTGCAGTATGGGCTGCACAAACGTACATTAGGTGCTAAATAATTTTAAATAATTTATTTTAAATAAAAATTCCATGCCTATCGTGCGGCTCATCCATCAATCAGCCAATTGTGTCATGTCCAATCTTATTTTGAAAAACCGCGATAGAGCAAGTCCGCAATAAACGAAACGCAAAGCAGCGAGGGACTACTGTATACTGATAGAAACAGCAATGCTTTAATTATGAACCAAGTTAAGAAGAATTCTGTTTGTTGCCGTCAAGCTGCCTGTCAGATACAAGATGTTCGGCTCAGTGTGACCTCTCCATTACAGCTGACGAGGTTTGCTAATCACATGACACACCCACCTCCAGTCTTTTCACAACCTCTCCAAAGTCTTCTGTGTTGTTATTAATGGAGCGAAGCGACACACTCTCGCCACGCTCGTAGTAGATCTTCATGGAGGCGGGACTTCCTGTCGACCAGCCAATCACGTCACGTGTGGCACAGTTGAACACAACTGCTTCTGCCTCTTGGTCCAGCAGGATGATGAAGTCGTTAGAAATGGCCAGGAGGCATTCACGTTCAGCACCCGCTACCTGGTCTTCAGCGTGAACTTGCCAGGTTATGGCCCCCAGACTCCGCAGCTCCGCCCCGCTGTATGGACGAATCTTCTCTTTCCGCTTGTGAGCACGAGGGATAAAAGGGAACTTCCCCGTGGTCTCTATGGGCGTACTGGTCACATGACGTTCAGCTAAGTCCCGCAAGTACTCCTGTCGGGTGCGAGTTGCCATGGCACCAAACTTTTCAGACTTGTGGGCTGCGTTCTCAGCGTTGATTACTTTAGCCAACAGGAAGTCCCGGAAGACAGAAGACTTGGGGAAAGTTACACCTTTAGGGATTGGCGGGCCGAAGGCTGGCACGTCCTGAGAACGAGTGACAGCCACGCTGCAGAGGCACAAATGGAGAACAGCATAAAATTGTTACTCAAATTTGCTAAATTATAGTAATAATAAAATAATTTTGTAAAATATAACTAAAGCATGATCCACAAGTAAATTTTTCTAAATTTTCATGTGCTTACATAGGAAAACGTTAAAGTGGAAAGAAAACGTTCTCATTGGTTTGTGCTAAAAGTATGTGTTTTAAAGGTTTTGCTGCCGTTGACCCGTTTGACTTGTAGGTACAAAGAAGGGCGTTAAACCCTCTGGAGGCAAAGCTCTCCTCTTGTTTCCATACACCGCTCCAATTACAATTCTACACAGCGGAGTTGAATTACTTTAAATTAGTAATCAGGTGTGCAACACTCCATCATACCCGTTGTTCATAAGTAAATTGTCTCAGAATCAACAGACTTTACTTCTACATGAACTCTTACTTCCTAATCTATGTGGTTATAAAGTGGATGTTTATAAAGTCACGCAGACTAAAAGCCTAAGTTGATAAGTTAATGTGACGATCCTTACAAGTTTCTGTCCAGCCCATTAAACTGATCAATCACACAGGCATTGCCTGCAGCACAAAGGTTGCACACCATTCCTGCCCAGTGCTGATGTAGAAACGTATTCGACCTCGGATGACGGCTCCCAGCTCCAGCATCCTGCTGTGCACCTCTACGTCATGGTGAGGAGATGAAGCACTGCAGTTGGAGTTAGTGTGCACAAATAGCCCACATTGCCCAAACAATGATCTAGTTATGTAATCTGCCTTTACTGGCCTCGTGTGACTTTGAGGCAGCGATTGAAAGCAGCAGATTAGCTCCCGGCTGGCTCCAGGCCACTTACCCCTCTAATGTGCTGGACTGCCTCAATATGACCAGAGCATTATCTTGAGCTCAACAGCAGACAACAACAGACTAATAATAACCAGAAGATCCTAAAAACCATAAAATACTCTTTATTAAGACTAGAAAACACATCCATTCTAATTTTATTTGTACAGCACTTAAGTGCTCAACATAAAAACATGGCTCACACAATACAATCAAAACACAAGTGAAATAAAACCAGGTAATTAAAACAATAAAATGTGTAAAATCGTCTCATCATTGACGTGGTCACACATAAAAATAATAAAGGAACACTAAAGAAAGAATGCACACGTGATCTGAATGTGGTGCGTGTTTATGTTTGCAAAGCTGGAACCAATGTTGAGCTGAGATTTTTAAAAAAGGGGGTAAAATCTACAAACTGCATCAGGTTTTATGCAAAAAATCAACACGAACATCAACAACTTACCTCCTACTTCAGCAAAAAGCTACCATGCTCTGATTATTGCTGCAAAATATCCAAAACCTCTGATGCAGTCGGTGCGAGGCAATGAAATGTTTAGCTGAGTCAGTTCTCCTCTCAGAACAACATTCAATAAGCTGCAGGGAAGCTTTGGAATCAAGTTATTTTGAATGAACCCGCATTTATCTCCACAGCGTCAAGAATCTGTTGGAAAAAGTTTCCACAAACAGACGTCTCAACAGAAAGTGTCAATCCACAGGAAGCATGGCGAAGGAAAGATTGAGAGTGCGACAGTGACTTTGGGTGGAGCAGCTGGATTCATGCGTGTCTATATTTTATCCGTAAGGTAAACAAGCGATCCAACTTTCCTACAGTACAAAACCGAAAGCTGACCCCTTAAGACAAGATGAAATCTTGACGAAAACCTCTGCAGGTTGATGGGATAAAGTAGCTGATGAGGACAAATAATGTTGACCTGAAGAAAAAAAAAAAAAAGAAGAAATGTTGCAAAAATAAATCAAGCCCAAAAAATAATGATGGTGTGAGAGACTGAGGTTGGCCTGACCCGTCCGCACCTGAGTTGGTCTCTGGGAGATCTGACAAACACTGCTCTGCACAGTCCTCCTTACTCACATTCAAGAGCGGGTGAGGGGAGCACTTCATGTGCATGGCGCTAACTCCTTCAGACTCACTCCGACTCACGCTGCCCAGAGGCGAAGTGGCAGTGATGAAGAGCGTGGAGGAGGGGGTTGTATTGTACGAGTGTGTGAAGAGTGAATCTTCAAGCGGATACGCGTATGAGCGCGGAAAGTGTGTAACTGTGTGCGGCGTGTGCAAGTGAGCATGAGAATGAGGTGAAATGGAGAAATGGGAGTGGGAGATTGACAAAGAGCAACTATGTGTGCATAATATCTGCGTGTGCAGTGGGGTGGCTTTGAATAAGCGATAACAGCACAGCGTTGGAGTCTGATCGTCACAAGGACAAGAATAAACCAGCAGAGGAGAACAAACATCAAAATGACAACACAGAATCCAACAAATGTATACTTGTACACATGTATATAGTTGAAATGGCGAAACGGAAAAGGCTTTTATGTTTGAACAGTGCCTTCCAGTCAATGCTTTCATCCTAATGCTACCTGCATGAACACATGACCATTCTTAATGCAGCGTGCAGCTTTTAAGGGTCTCAATAAGAGGGACTGGTCCTGCACAGGGACAGGTCTCTCATGAGTTTAGTCAGGCTGGCCTAGTTAAAACTGCAACAAGTCTTTACACAAGGAATCACTTTGTAAATAATACAAATAAATAAGGGCGTATAGTAGTCCCTCGCTACTTTGCGGTTTGACTTTCTCGGACTCGCGCCATCATGGTTTGTGAACGTACAGTACATAATATTGTACTAAAAATAATTTGTACAGGACACATGATTGTCAACTTTAATATCACTCACGTGATTGGGACAGTACTGGATACAGTACTGTACAGTAAAAAGTTAACGAAAAAATACAATAATGTGCACAGGCGCCACCATCTTGTAGTTTTCTCTCAGTAAGCCTCCACTGTATTCCCGTGCATAACGACCACGTTTCCCAGAAGGCAACAGGGCCCCGCCCAGAAGCCCTGTTTCCTTCAGCTGAAAAACTAGAGGGAAAGGTTCGATCCGATCAGCACCCAGTGGATGCAGAGAAGTTGCACGGAACCCACCAAACTGGACCAGAACAAAAGCAGAACCAGACCTCCAGACCCATCGGTGAACTCGAGAGCTCCTAGCCAGCCCACACAGACCTCCGAGCAGGGATGCGCGCCACTGAAGGTCCGATGCCGTTTCTGGAGCCCATCGGGACCGTTTTCATCCAGACTTGGACTCAATTGACCACCTATGGTCCCACACCAGCCAACTGAAGGTCTGCCCCCCAAAAAATGCACTTTGGCACTCAACAGCTGCACTGAACTGGACCAGAACCGGACCTCCAGACTCAGCGGTGAACCCGAGAGATCCTAGCCTGCCCACGTGGACCTCAAAGCGGGGATGTGCTGGTAAGTAAAATTTAGTAGCTACATATACGTACGCTGTTAAAATTAGTAGGTTTAAGAGTTTAGAGCATCGATTGTGGGCTTTGTCGCCGCAGAGTAGGTCTGCAGAAACAAACCGAGTCGGACTGAAACAGTCGGACCAGAACCGAGAGCCGCTCCTGTTCTGCAGTGAAATTTACCGTAGTAGCTACATTTACTGTACGTATGTTGTTAAAATGACGTAGGTTTCAGAGTTTAGAACATTGCAAGAGAGTGGAAAGGGTTGATAAAGCCTTAAAATATATAAAATTACTCAAATAAATATAACGTTGCTACTTCGCGGATTTTCATTTATTGTGTGTGTGTGTGTGTGTGTGTGTGTGTGTGGGGTACAAAACCTAACACCCACAATAAACGAGGGACTATTAGATTACCGTTTGCTCCCTGCCTTGATGCTCAATAGGCCATATTGAAAATTTATTGTCTTGTTTTTTCTGTTAGTCTGGCATAGACTCACCTGTAGCATGTGCTGTTAGAACAGGGGTTGTGCACTCGTACAATGATGAAGACGTGCTGAAAGTGGGAGCGAATGGCCCTGGGAGTGAAGGGGTGTGCTCCCGGTTCTTGGAACACAATGGTCACAATGTCGTTTCCAATGTGGCGCTTCCTCAGCAACTGAGAAACAGGATTCATGTAGAGGAGTATTAAGTGCGATACTAAACGTACAGTCCAAACAAGCATTTGGTATGTTTTAATAGATCCTGAAAAAAGAAGAAATGAAACTAAAGCTGGATAAGAATCTGATTTCTAGGCCACAAGTGATCTCACATTCCTAAGGTTTATTTTTTGTATCCGTTTCCAAACAGAGACGTTTTCCATTTCCTCTGACAAGAGACCACAAAAGCCACATTCTCCATGTTTACCTGTTGCTTGTTGTTGGGCGTGTAAGGCAGCATTGTCGAGACATGAAACATGATTTCGTAGTCCTTGTAGGAAGTGTACAGGGAGTGAGTGCCTGTGGAATCCGCTGCAGGAAAAACGGCAACACAACATTAAGAGCCGTTATAAAATCACTCCTACTCATCTCAGCTCTGCTTTCTGTGCACAACAGGATGCATTTTCACCACAGCTCAAACAATAGTGAACTGTGATTAATGTCAACCTGTTAGAATTAATGCTCATATGTGAAACAATTGTTTAACTCATGTATCCTGGAAGTGGAACACAGTTTGCTGTACTTTGACATACAAAAAGAGGGAAAGTAAAATATATTAAATGTGACGTGAACTAAAGGAAATCATGTGGTTCAGGAGTTTTTACTTTCACAGCTAAAACTAAAGCACAAACCCTGCGATTCATGTCTGAGTGTATCTGGGAGTTGTTACTTTTGGTGTCCAGCTGGGCTCTGTACTTGGTGAAACCCTTGAGGCGGACCTTCTCCCCCAGCAGATGGAGGAACTCCTCCAGGGCGGGGCCAGCTGTCTCGTTGTTGTACATTTCCTCCTCTGTGCTTTGCCCCGCTCGGCAGTACATCACGCCCACCTTCACCTGAAAACTCAGCTGGACACCAGACATAGTTTCACTTCTGTAAGAGCTCTTCAGGAAGGCGCAGATTAAAAACAGCTTTACATTGTTTGTGTTATGTTCTTACCCCTTGTTCATCCAGCTTCATCAACTGCTCAGTGACTTTGGGAGTGTTGAGGGCCAGCCTGAGGCAGGACAGATCCAGTTCTGGTAGAAGGTACTCCAGTACATCTTTGATGGGCAGCCCTCTGGTGGTGCCATGCTTAGAGGTCGAGAGCACAGCATCTTCTAGTATAGAACCTCGAAGTGTTGTCAGCTGGAATGATTGAAATGAAAAGATGATTAAAAAAAGGGATGCACCTCGGGAATACTTTAATGTTTTTAGATGAAAAAGCCAATCATGCCTGCACTGACGCCCGGCCCAAATAAAATATAAAACCAGGCTGCAGTTTTTCTTAAAGTGACACCGGCATTACCGGTACTTCAAATTTAAAGACAATGAAATCAAACAAGAAAGTTGGTCAAACCTTTGATAAATACAGAATAAAACAAAGAAAGAAAAGCGGAAGGGCTTGTCTGTTTGTGTACAAAGTATGCTTTGTGCTGATCTCCAGGAGTGAACTCAATCACTGCTATCACAGCAGCTGGAACAGATGGAGACATTCTCTCTTGCAAGCTGCAAGGTGTGCTGAGCTGCTGTTTACAATAGACCAGTGTTTCTGTGTTTGGATGAAGGAGTGGGGGTGTTTAGGTGCTTCAGAATGACCTGTGAGGTTAAAATCACCTGCCCTTTCTATACTCACAACAAACAAAATGGCAAATGCCTTTGCCTTCCATATGAAATGCATCCCATTACCAAAATGTAAAACAAAGTTACGCTAAGTCCACAAGAGTGGGATCAAACGCAGCAACTAAATAAGATTTTGCCTTAAAACTAAGAGGTAAAGCTTTTCACACAGTGGTTTTAAGTTGCAAACAGGCCTTGCAGGGTGGGGGATAAGCGCACCTTCAGAGGTTTCTTCACACATTGCTGATATTAGAGGAGACAGCTGAATACCTCAGGGGTAGGTTGCATAAGATACAAGGGCTGTGACTTATTTTATCTCAAGCTGAAATTCCTAGTACATCATGCAAATAAAACTTAATTAACTATAGTAAATATGAATGTTTGCTCTAAGTTAATCAATCTAACAACTCAAAAAGATAGTTTCCTCAAACCAAATCAAAAATAATTTCATTCCCACATTAGTGAAGATGTATAAAAAAATGTCATCTTTAAAAAAAAAAAAAGCTACGAGTACAGTAGAATACAAGACTGTATGTCTGACCTCGCTGGTTCTGAAGATGAGGCGGTAGTTATACTGTGAGCCATGCTCCTTATCGTCCTCCAGCTTCTCTCTGCGCAAGCTCACTGCAGCTGGACCCAATGCCTCATCTACTCCAAAGTAGTTCCAATGTTCTGAGTTAAAGTACACAACAAATAATGTTATATTTTATTTAACATCAGGTTGTTTTTTTTTAAGAACAAAGCATTTATTTGCAGTTATTCATAACGGAACAGTGAAATGAATCTTACCTCTAAGGTAGAAAAACGTCCTGTAGTAATAGGCTCCCAGGTCCACGTGCTCCACAATGTATTGTTTGCTCTTTTCGCTGAGTGTGCTAGGTCCGTCCTTAGGTCCCTCGAGAACAGCTACTCCAGCATTGGTGCAGTGCGTGCTCAAAGATGTTTCATACAAGTTCACTTCCCCAGTCATGGTCCCTGAGCCACTGCTGCCTGCTCCACCACCCATCAGCCCGTGATACCCTGCACCGCCTGCTCCCAGCCTGCGTCTCACAAACCCATCAGCATCGATCTCATTACGAAAGCAGGGACAACTCAGAAGCATTTCATTGCTCTGTTCATCTCCTGCATCCAAGCTTGGACTATCTCTGGAACTGAGCTCCTCTTGACTTCCACTAGGGGAACTGTAAGGCAGGCTGTGGGTGGATGACAGAGTGGAGGTAGCTGAAGCTACAGCAGCAGCCGATGCCCCAGTCGTGGTGTTTTTCCTTTTGCCTGCAGTCTGCCGCAGCTGAATAATTTTGTTGAGGTCAAAAAGAATGCTCTGAACATCATAGTGTGCAAAACCTTTTTGACAAATCCAGGGTTTTAAAGGAGGGCCTGTGTCCTCTATCCGACTGTCCTCTACGTCGGACCCAGCTCTTGGGGAGTCTAGCTCACCTCGTGCATTCTTAAGTTTTCGCAATATAGACTCGCCCCCTATTTCAGACTTGGTCCGTCTCTTTGGAGGCTTGTCCTTGTCCCTAGGTTTAAGAAAATGGCCATCTGGGACATCTTCTTGAAGCTCCATGATCCCGTGATTGATCCCAACATTTAGTATGTCCTCCAGTTTCTCAGGAGCAGGACTACGCTGGTCAACTTTGGTCCCTTGATAGCCCTTAAGCATTTCAAAGAAGCTATCACCAGATACTCCATGCTGATCTATTGAGGAGGTGCTACCATATTCGCGATGAAGAGGGGACCATTTAGGTGCTGCAGATGGACCCCAGTCTTCTCCACTGTCTCCACTGCCTTCCATTTCACTGATAGTCATGTCACTATTGCTTCGCTGACGGATGCGTCTCTGCCGTGGGTTTTTATGTGCAGGCCCTCTGTGGTCACCTGGGGACAGGTATCGGGTATCCGGGCTGTAATTGTTAACCTGGGCATGAGTTCGATTCTTCAGAGTATTGTGGATGTTCCGAAGCATTGAGGAGTCCTGAGGGCTCAAAACAGAACCCAGTTTAATGTGACTTTTACCCGATGGGGGTACACCAGTCGTAGCTTCAGTAGATGAGTGCCACAGAGACCCTTGTATGTCTTTTCTTGGGGGCCAGTCTGCCACCCGAGCTCTAACACCCATTTTAGGAACTCCTGTGCTCACACTGCCATGAAAGTTGTCTGTGCGGGTCGGCAAAGCCCCTCCGTTAACTGCCCGAAGGTGGTCAGTGTAAAATTCATTAGTGGCAGGGACTGTACCCCCAACAGTGCACTCCATGGGTGGGCACCTCAGGCTGGTCATGGCACCAGTGCCAAAGGCTAATGGCACTTAGCAGACACACATGGTGGCTTCTGGGACTGGATGCTGCTCCCTGACCTCATGACCAGTTTGATTGTCTGGATCAACAGGTGAAGAGAAGCTTTTCAACACTCAAGCTTCCATGCTGCTTTGTTAACTGCACCAACACCGCCACTTGACATGTTTTCCACTCCAAATACAGAATGCTGAAAAGAAATTAGAAACTTGTTAGCAGCAATACTCCCTAGAGTAATAACTAACTATTAGTGTATTTGTGTGGTGGCTCACAAAGCCCTCCCTGGGATGAATAGGACTGGAAAACAAGTAAAACCATGCTGAAATTTAATCTCGAGTGGAAAATAACTTCACATTTGATTTGTATAATGCTCTAAAATTCTCCCAGTTCAAAGCTATATCTAAGGTTTGAATTTGAATTAAATATAGTGTAGGTTTAAAATGATAGATTAAGGTGTCAAGTTGTTAACAACAAAAAATCGTTGTATATCTTTTCGGAGAAAGAAAGCACTTCAAGGTCAGCATGAGCTTTAGGAGTAAGTAGGAAACAAGGTATGGAAAATGATGTGTGCCAGAATGTGAAATTAATAAAATCTTTTGGATCCATTAAAATAACTTCATCTTTTAACTTACAGATGTCTAAACACACTGGTACAAGGTTTATGTTTTCTGATCTTTTGGGGTTGTAAAGCTAAACTGCAATTTTTTTAAAGCTCAAACATGCCAACCTGCACATCAAAAAGCAAACAGACCTTAAAAATAATTTGAAAACTGCTGATGATTCTTTGCTTGAAAAATGGGTCCAATTTGACAGTGATACACCGAGGGAGATTAAGCCTCTTCTCTCACTCGGCCCTGCCAGGTTGTGCATGTGATCACATTAGCCACCAGCTATGAGTGCTATGTGACAGCCAGCAGCACAGCCACCTTCACACTGTATCAAACACATCAGGGTCAGCTGTATAAACCATATACACAATACTCCATATGAATATAGAAGTAATACAATGGATGTTTTTCCATTTGAAGACACAAAACACATCATGTTCAAGAATGATGCAGAGCACCATGCAGAACATTTGAGAGATGGGTCAAATGCTCCTCGGATAACACTGTTTGTTTGATCTATCAACATCAATTTGCAAGTCAAGTCTCAAGTACTCCTACGCTTACATGAGTACGTCTCTTTGGCTGCTCCCTTCTTCAGGGGCTGCCACAGCGAGCAAATTCGTATGAAAGATGTGGCATTTGTTTTATGCCGGATGCCCTTCCTGACGCAATCTGGGCTCAAACTTGGAACCTCAGGATCAGAAGACCACAGCACTGACCACCGAGCTACCGCAGCCACTCCTACACTTACATGAGTGCAAAGGTACAAATACCAAGGCTCTGCAGTGCAGATGATTCAGCTTTCAGAAATTTGTCAGGCAGCGTATCTTCAGCCAAAACAGAATAGTACTGACTGAAAATAATCCTCTAAACTCATTAAATTTCAATTTGCAAGTGCCAAAACAAGCATTTGTTTGCATCAAAAGAGTAATACCGGTAGTTAAAATTTTATATCACAACTGATAAAAGTAGGGTCCTCAGACATGATGTGGAGGAAGATCCCTATACAGCTCAATAATAAGTAATAAATAAATTTTTGTATAACAACAAAACAGGATTTGCTATTTTCAGCTCACCCACCACTGCAAAAAAAATTACCGGTACCTGTTAAAAAGAAATACATGGCTAATGTCATTACTGCTTATTGATTTTACTCCACTATCCGTTCTACTGTGCATCAAGATTGTGAAATAGTCAGATATTTATCTATTGTAGTTGCTACATAATCATGTTTACTTTTGTACTGAGCATGAGCCTTAATTTACAAGCCACTAAGATGTCCCTGCCATAACTTTTAACATTATTCTTTTCATCCATAATTATCTGGAGGAACAGAACCAGACTCTCTTCAGTATTCTGTGCACATATGCAGTAAATGGCACATGAGATGGACTCTCAAGTCTAGACATTTAATAAAAGGACATCTGATAGAGATCACAGCTGGCAGGTCGTAATTCAAAAAGTACATTGTGGAAACGGCAGGATTTTTCTCTTTTTTTTGGAACAAGGACATCCATGATGGAAAAAAAAAGTAGGATTGTAAATAGTAACTAAAGTTAGGTAGTCAGTGCTACAGTCTTGTAATCCTTAGGCTGCAGGTTTGAACCCAGGTCGCACCAGGAAGAGCATCTGGTTTAACACAATTGCCAAATTATTTATGCAAGTTCACTCGTTATGGCACCCCCTGCAGAAAAGAGCAGCCGGAAGAAAAGGAACAACCCTTTCTATAAGTCCCACATGATGATGATTTCTTACTAGACACTGAAATTGAGTGGAGCTCACTCTTTGCAGCCTGGCACTGGATTAACTGTCTGGAGCCGATAACCAAGAACCTAATGATTTAAAATTAAATTAATGCCTACCAATTACCCTCTTTATCTAGGTGAGATAATAGTCAGGGAACGTAAATTAAATAGCAGGTCCCTTCCCAAAGCGTAGGGCCTCTTTCCCTCATGAAGCCGCCCACAGGGAAAAACTGACGAATAGAACCAACACGTTAGACATGAGCTCACACATGGACACATATATGTAGAAATCAGGTCTTTAATCTGCTGGCTGCTGAGCGGGCAGGCTGGCTTTACAGTCCTGTCAAGATGAAATGGTAAAACAATCACATTTATGTAGCATCTTTTAACCATCATCAGGTCCAACAAATCACTTTACAATGCATTTCTGTATGTACACTCAACCCTTTTTATGGTTTTGCACGCTACACACAGTGCTTTGTCTGCACAACCATATAAAAATGAGCTGGAGCAAATTGGGGTTCAGTGTCTTGCCCGTTGACACAAGTGGAATCTAGGGAAAGAATCGTGAAGATTTCAACCATAAGGAAGTGCATTGTGTGTACTTTTTTTGTGGAACAGACTAAACGCGACAAGAAAAATAACAGAAAGATGAAAACTAAAAATCGGCAACCCATCAGTCTTGTTTTAACCAAACCTGTCAGCATGTCAGTTTAAAAATGTTTTTTCATAAGCTGGTAGGACACGTCCAGACAGCTTAATTGCCGACACTACATTTTTAATCCCTGTAATTGGTGCTCTGACCTCTCAGTTGAGACCATAATCAGCAGATGTAGGCTTGGTGATGTTATGGCACATCTGGTTGAAGTGATGAGACATGAATTACTGTAAGAGAAGCATGTCTATGTTTGTGCGTGTTACTTCGTGGGCCCTCCAGGTTGTTATGACAAAGCATACGCACATATTACATGAAATTAAAGGAGGGAAAAACAGAAGTTCCACAGCTGGACTGATGAGTCACATCATGAATCAGAAATATGAACAACCTCCACAACTTTATTTATTCATCAACGCAAAACTTAAGTAGGAGGTTTCTCAAACCAGGGTCCCACAATGGGACGCCTTATTTACTGAACTGGTTTGGTTACTTGTCCCTTGAATAAAGGACAACATGCTGCAGCTGAAAGAGTCTTGATCATTGGTCTTCAAAACTCAATGAAGTTTCCCAGCACACAGGGCAAGCGTTACCAAAGCCGCAACAAAAGATCCAACAGATTGCCCTACAAGCTTGTAATTACTGTGTGCTTGAATAGGATAAGAGGCTGTTTGCCTGACACCATTGGCTTTCAAACAGGCACCCTACCATTTAGTCCACTGGCTCTCCCTGCCTCCTAATCTCTGCTCTGAGGGCTGACTGGGCCATTGGACTGCAGACACAAAGGTCTCTCTGTGCTGGCTTGGGTAGAACTGGGGCCTCATTCCAACACACTGAAATCTTTGAAAATTGCCTGGCACTAGAACATCACTTCGGCCGTGTAAATGAAGCTTGTTGGGGAAAACCAGATGAATTAAAAGCTTGCTGAGGTGAAGAGCAATGCCTGAACCAGATGCAGTTTAAGGAAACTAAAGATCAAAAAGTAGGAGGACACAACAAGCAGAGAAAAAAAAAAAAAACCTATCTGGGCAGAAAATTAGTAATATCAAACCAGCTGTCTGTTCTGCGATTGTTGCAACACAATAACTTGTAGATGACTGAAACTTGAAGTAAAAACAAGAAATGTTGTACCTCCTACACAAATAATTTGCAGTCATAGACGGGGGTGCTGATGAGTGGGAGAAGTAAACTGAGGTCTCAGCAAATTCAGAGATACTGCCCCACCATGAAAATCCATAAGCGAAGCAGTCTGTCTCACTCGTTTTATGTCTGCTTCCTCCTCCGGTTCGTCTATGTAGCTGAGCACCGTGCACAAACCTGCCCTTATGATTGAGCAAACCTAAGAACCCAACGCCTTGAGGGAAAAACAAGCAGGCATGTTGGCAGACAAACAACACAAGCACCATCCAACCGCGAGTCGAGATCCTGGAATTTCACCAATTTCAGTGCAGGAAATGATGAATGTCTATGAACAGAGAAGTGAGGCAAGTTTGGGCAGATAGTAAGAGAGAAGTGTAACACTGACTTTCCAAGTATTATGTTTTGTTTTCATACTTTACTAGCACAGCTTATACTGAAAGTTTTGATCGCAGCATGACCAGCTGCAGATACAGTACAAGATACAAACTGGCCAGAAGAGTTCAACTAAGTACACAAACAGTACAAAATGTAGGTGGATTGTTTCAATAAACAGCAGCACTGACATTCTTTGTGGCCATTGTCCTGGGATGCATGGCTGCTGCTTTGCCCCAACTCTGGGCCTCTCGCTATCACTGCAGCACAGCTCAGCAAACAGTGGGCAGGAGCTAACCACTGGCAAAGTGGATTTAACTCACAGCTTAACACAAGAAGACAGTTCTGGATGACTGCCAGAGAATATTCATTGCCATCATATCCAGTAGGGTGTCCTCGATCCTTCCCCTCCTTTTATCTAGACAGCGCACTGCTGGGATTTCACAAGTGGGAGACGGCAAAATTAAAAAAATAAACCACTTGAAACACTGTAGTCAGCTATGGTAAACCTGCTAAACTATTTCTAATTATTTGGGTGGGTCACAAGTTTTTCTTTTTTACATTGAAAGCCTTTGTCTAAGGCATAGCACGGTCAATTACCATAAAAAGCAAACTGCACAGCTATCATCTTAGGTGGTCTCCTTACTCAGACAGAAGAAATACCACTTCT